GGACCCCACTGGGACATTCCATAGCCTGAGATAAAGTGAAGTTAACCCTGACCTTAACATATCCATTTTTAGATATGAAATGAGCCGATCAATTAGAGATGGTCTGATACACAACCGTTTGAGCTTGTTTATAAGACATATGGTTGACCCTATCAAGAGGTTTTCAGAAATCAAGGTAAATGATATTAAAATTTTCCTCGCGATCAAGGATGCTTTTCTATCTGTCCACCACAGTCAGCAGGATGGTCATACAAGAGTAACCTTTCCTGAAACTATGTTGTTGGGGTGAGAAGAAATTTGAGGACAGCAAATTGTCATGTATGCCATCGCATATCAGGAAGTCCATGATTTTTAAAGGTATAGAGAGAAGAGTTACCGGTCGGTAACTTGAAGGTTCGCTGCGTCGACCTTCTTTGAAAATTGGTATGATGTGAACCGGCTTCCAATTCTCCGGTAGTTTTCCTCGGTCTAGTGAGTGTGAGAACATCAGGCTAAGGATTGAGGCCGATTCCCTCAGTATAGCAGAATGAACCATATCTGGGAGAAGTGTCTTTTCTTAGGTGCTGGAGTTTCCGGAACACCAAGTCAGCCCTCAGTTTCACTACGGAAAGTCCTGTGCAGTTGCAGATGAAGCTGTCATCAGTATAGTTATTGAGGGTCGGTTGAAATGTCCGAGAGTATTGTTCAGCCAAAAGGTTAGCGGCATCGCCTTCGTTATTGGTCAGGCCATTAAGAACTAGCGGTTGGAAACTCTAGTTTTGGCTTGTCAAAGAGAGGCTGCACAATAGAATAAGCTTTTCGGATTGAAGACAAATTTATCCATAAGCTTTATCTGGTACTGAAGTCTGTCTTCTCTTATAGCCTTCTTGCATATGTCCCTTATATTTTTGTATTGCCTGTACGCGCTACTGTTACCAGTTCGTTTGTATTCTACCCAACAGTGCCTTTTGCAGCTTATCAAACGAAGAGTGTGGTTCTTGATGATTGTAGGTTGCTTGTAGCTTTTGGGGACCGTTTGAGGAACTGACTGCTTTGTAGCACATAAGAGCGTGTGCAGTAAGAAATCCCAATGAGCATCCACATCAAGTTGATCGTGAACATCTCAATCCACCTGTTGTAGATAGTCCTGTAAAGCTGAGTCATCCAAATGTTTGAAATTCCAGCGACTGTTGTTGGTGGGATATCTTAGCTGAAGGCTATCACGGCGTGATTGCTTTTCTCCGGGGGAGACAGGATTGAGAGGTTGTTCACTAGAAATTCTTTGTTTGTAAATACCCAGACTAAGCGCGACGGCGTCTGACTGTTTCTTTAACGAGTTGCCGACTTCACATTTTCGAATAATCCCAAATCCTCAATGAGGTTGAAGAATCAAGCTTCAGTTGAGTTTTCACCTCCAATATACGTATGTTCCGCGAAATTCACTCTAGGGAGATTGAAGTCTCCTAGAATCAGGATATGAGTGAATCCGAGACGCGTAGAGCAGGATAGTCCTTCCAGCATACGACTGTCGTACTCGATGTCAGCAGCGGGATTCCTGTAGATGACCCCAACTAGGTATCTGGAAGTGGTGGACAATCTTGCCAAGTACCATACGCATTCATCAAGATTGATAAACTCTTGGTTGTGAACTTGGTGTTCCTCCAGGCAGGATCGTATGTATAAGGCTACTCCACCCCCAATTCCTGATTTTCTGTCGTTGCGATACAAAGACATCCCAGGTATTGCTAGCTCCTGGTCCATAAACTAAGAAGATATCGAAGTTCCAGATCTTCCTATCAAATGAGCATTATGAGCATCGCTAAGTTCGCGTAGCTCATCCATTTTATTTGGTAGAATCGCGGCATTCATGTATAAGCAGCTTTTGCTTTCAATTTGAAACGCATGAACTTCTTCCTGTATGTCTGTATGAGTCTTACGTGAATGAACAGGTAGGGGGATATATCATAGGTCAGTCTTCAGTCTTTAGCCTTTTTCTTAGCCAAAAACGCTCTTCTACCACTCAAACGAAGGTTCAAGAGGTAGGCAATTTAATAATTCTGCCTAGTGAAATTTAAAACATTAAACTTTTCAGAGAAATTAGAGAACTATATATTTGGGGAGATATTTGTTCGGTCGACGGAAGTCATCTCGATAGTGAAAATATATGGTTGTAGACTGTTGGTTGAAGGCTGTTCTAATGATAACTTGTTAACGACGGAGTCGAATTGAGATTTGCTCGTGACTTAAAAGCTCTCGCTTTCTGATGCTCCATCACAAAATACTATGACCCTAAGAACAAAAATCAATTCAATTACTGCTGCAAAATCCATAAATCCAGAAAGGGAAGTAGCTAAAGTCTTTCAGTACAAAATTCCTAGGGGGTACGGAAGAGTAACGATAATGAGATTGTTTAGACAAAAAAACTTTTCGCCCAAATAAGGAGTGCTTACAGCCTGCCGATGTTACATACTATTGAGGCTTCCTATGGTTTACGACTGGTCTACTATAAAAGTTTGGCAAATATATGGTTCATCCGCAAGTCAGTCACAATAACCGAATGAGTTATAAGGATCCAGGTGAGTCTGTTCAAATTCCAATACTAATGGCTGCATTCCTGATCATACATAGTCGAGAGGGCACGTGATGAACCTGAAGAGAAGACGTATGGCGAATTACAGAAGTTTGGATACCCATCTGAGCCGTGGTGATTGTGGTAATTTTGTCAAGTTCTTCAACTAATCTATTTAACACACTGCGTTATTCAAACAGTACCAATTTATCAATTATTACTATCATGTCTGCATGAATATATATACTTAATCACATTTGACAGCGTACGCACATTTCTTTCTAGCTTTAATTTTAGATTGTTAAAAATCATTTGATGAATAATACGCTTTCCAATTTTTATGTGCTTGAATATTACTAGTTGATTCAACTACGAATTACCCTCTGTATTTGTAGAATCTATTAGCTGACGGTCAAGTACCCAGTCATATAATCAATTTTTAAGCATAACATAGCATTCATTCATCAAATAAATGAGAACCTATATGTTTTTTAAACACTTCAGAAGGTTCAGCTATCGATGCTCTACGAAATGGTCTCCAATGTCTACGGGATTGTTTTCAACATATGAAGCAAACATTTATATCAGCAATGAAAATTTCAAGAAGTACTAGAAAATCATCATAATGAGTTGTTTTCTTCTTTCCAATTGTATATTTTCGCCTCGATTTTGTCAGACTATTTCTAATACTGTTGCAAAAACAGAAACTGTACAAAAACAATTCAAAAGTTGAAAAAATTATAATACTAATAACGATAATGTAAAAGTATGATGTGATTTTTCTAGCTCAACTAACCTAAACAAATATTTCCAGAAAAAAGTGAAAACAATACTTTGAACCATGCGTATGAAAAAGCACAAGAACTTATAACTGTCTGGTGATACTGTTTCTTCCAACAGACTACAACTTTTGTCGTTGCTAAAGTTTATTGATTGATATGAAGAGTTCGTTTGTAAATTATGTAACTAGGTAGTTTTTGATGGGGGAGAATATGTCTTCTTTTATAGACACTTAGCTCATCCTTAATTAAGTAATCTTTGAGTAGTTTCAGTACAGTTATTCTGTTCAGAAGTCACATGCATATATGCCAAGACAGTAGTAAGAAGAACGTATCGGTAAATTTAGACCTATTTGATACTAGAAATATATTCGCATACTATTACAATACCTTTCATTTGTGCTTCACATAGTTGATCACTCGAATTTTGAATGAACTAACTCAGTCAAACGTAAAACTACTTTGGCAACAATTTATTATATGCGACTCGTTTGTTGATATCGTGAGACTAAACATGCCATAAACAACACGGGTAACTGATTGGCTGCGACAAACACTTGAGCTTTTCCCTAAGCAAATGCAATTCGCTTCTTCCGGTGGTCGACTGGATTATGAAGACCCCGACATTGGAGAGGAAACACGGAATACAATGGACAGATCGGAATCATTTAGGAGATTTTTAATTCTCAGATAACCTGTCCCTTCTATCCCATACACACGAACAAACACAGATGCAGACACCTAATATAGTAGCATCCTCTGCACCAGTAGACTTCAACATACACAAGGTGAAAACCAAGATCCTCAAATACAACACGGAGAACACCGACTCAATCACACTTGGTGGAGGAACTCTTGGAAATGTGGAGTTTTCCATGTACCTGTGCAGTATCATCGATGAACATGGAGGATCTGGTGCAGACGCAAAAGCGAGGATTGGCAAAGTAAGAGTTGAATTCCTACAGTTAAAGAGCATATGGAATTTAAAACAACTGTCGACCAATATCGAAGTCACAATCTTCAATACGAACATCAAGACAGTTCTGTTGTATGGAGCTGAAACACCAAATATGTGCAAGTATTTATCACCAGTTGTCTACGCGAGATACTCAATATCTGTTGACCGTAAACCATCAGCCTTCTGTAGGAGAGGACAAACCTGGTTCTATCTGAAGAGGAGATCAGGAAGAGACGATGGAAATGGGATAGGACATATATTATAGAAACCTGCATTACGAAGCAAGTTCTAACTCAGAATCTTGAAGGGAAACAGGTAAGTGAAAGGCCGAAGAACATACTGCACCGAGAATTGGAAGCAGACACGAAAAGGACAAGTAGTAACTGCAAAGGGTTTCCCTGGACAGAGTGGATGGAGAGTGCTTGTGGATTGCTCATACTCCTACACTACGGGTAACAGGCGTAAGTAAGTAAGGGCTCTAAACGATGAGATGTTTTAGATAAGGTAGTCAACTTTATTCATTATATCGGCTTTATGCAGTCGGTGGATGATTTCACTGGTTACATTTGTTGCTAATTTATGGGGGGATACAGTTGCTTTTACATTATCTTCCAGAAAAATGGATAGATTATAGCGTGAAGTCCGTTTTTTGTGTAAGTCGACTAACTTCTGTAGTACGTCCAGATATAATAGGCCTACTATTAAATACTTCAATATGAATCCAAAGTGAGGAGTAATTATAAGAAATATCAAAAATAAGGCAGAATAACAGACGACAGCTCAACAAAAAAGTTGTTCTAGAAAATACGGAACGATACAATAATGCTAGTAGGACTTTTATCCAGGGAATATAAGGGTGAAGACAATACAACTTGAGAGGAACTGTGATTGTGAGTGCAGACAGAGAAAGATGGACGTAAGAATACTCAGCAGATTTTATAGAGGGGGCTATGAGTTTCCTATGAATTATACTGAAACAATGATCTGTAGAATGCAGTCTCAAGCTGTATTTGCGTATTAGTCGCACTCTTTTATCATTCAGTCTCCTCGCATATTAATCACCGGTCATATAAGCTTTGTTCAAATCTACTCTAGAAATGATTACAAAGTAGGCTGAAACAGAGCTTGAGAAAATGCTATAAACACAAGAAAAAGACTTCATAGATGTAGATGAATAGCAGAACCTATTTTAAAACACACGTCTTCACTTCGTAAACCGAGATACACTTTTCTGGTAATCAGGAACTAAACTCCATGTTAGTTTCTGAGGCCAACGTCATACGTATGGGAAGTCACTGTGAGGAAACGTTAAGCATGGAATGAATCACCTATCTCCTATAATACTGGGAATTTATCATCTTACATAAAAGCCTACGATAAATATGCCCAAAAATGAAGTCAGATTAGAATGAGTCGTTGTGCTCTTTTGTTTAAGTTTGAGGAAGGTAGAACAACGTTTAGATACATAATTAAGAGAGACAAATATCACACACTGAACATACTAAGTGAGGATATTCCTGCCGTATCTGCTTCCCATAACGAAGTTAACATGTTTCTGGCTCAGTAGTATCGACTAAACGTCGCCCTATCAAGTTCATCTACTACCTAAATCTGTCACCTGTTTTAGGTCATAGACCGCCGATAGGGAATCTTTAGCTAACACTATCCTTGTCTCTCCTTTTCGATGGAGTTTTGCTCTCTGAGCTGTATGGTTTAGTCGTGGAGCTTTCATCTTTCTTCTGAACGACATCATCGGCACAAACTTCAGTAAGAAATCTCCTTTTCGTTTCTCTCAAATGCTGTAAGAGTGTTACTATCACTTTTCTTGTCTGACAACGGTCTTCATTTGAAATATATCTGTGAATTATTAGTATTATTCCCAAAACTCTTATGGGTACATAAGTTTTGCGAAGAAACCATTTCGAGTTTCTTCAAAATGCAAAAACACAACTTTCAATAATGTTAGCAATAGATCTGCCATAATGGAATGATAGTAAATCAGTTCCTGTTTAATTGCGAAGGATATTGAGTTGACGGTAAAGAAGGAAAGAGGGAAAATGAGGAAATAGGAATTAAGGAGACGCGAAATTCGTAAATAGTTTATTAAGCGTGTTTGTGAACACAACAAAAATAAACGACTATGTATCTATCTGCAAATGAGCAACATAAGTAAACTAAAGCAAAACAAGTAAGAAAAATAACTTATTATTGCAGTAAGATACGACGTTATAATAAGTGTTTGTGCAGTCAAAGACTGAGGTGTTGCTATGAAAGTCTCAATTAAGTGCAAAGGATAACCAAATATCAATATGCATGAGTAGTGTATACCTAGTGAAGAAAAAACGAGACTGAGAAGTAAATTTAAGTGTAAAACAAGTTATTGTCTTAATTACAAACTTCGAAATCTTGTGAATAATATTTATTTAGAAGGAAAAGGAAGAGAGAAAAGAAATAAAAACCTAGTAAACGGTTATTTGTTTATTCTCTGAAGAATTGGCTCACACTGTGTCACGAAACGTCAGAAAATCTAATTTTTCTACCTAGTGAATGTGTTCAAGCATGACAATTAAAGTGTAATGAATATCGGCCTCTAGAGCAAATCATTAATTTTGTTAGATTTTAGTGCACTCGGATGAATATATGTAAAGTTATATTCTTAGCAAATAAACTGATATTCAATAGGTTGTTTTACTATCCCAACAGAATAGATTTTGATTGAGTAGATTCCAGTAAAATATGCAGAAGCTGTCTTTACGTCAAAAAGCGAGATTCAGATGAATAGCTAACCTACCATTGGCGAAAGAGTGATCAACAGAGTTACATGATAATGGGAAATTAGAGAATGTTCTCTACGTAGACTTCAGCAAAGTCTTTAACAAGGTACCACATGGTAGACTACATAGAGCCAACAATTATTGTAACTTGTCATCCGAAGTAGTGGTGTACGCACTACCAAATAACTCATTCAAGTGAACACTAGACGCTCCGCATGCATGACCTCGCTATGTAGTCCATCGGAAGAATGCTGAACAATGTTGGCATTCTTCCTAGGTAAATCATTGTGCCGAAGACTGCTCCATAAGATCCTCTTGTCCACACTGTCGAATGCTTTCTCATGGTTGTGAAAGTTAGAGTATAGTAATGAGTTGCATCCAATTGATTGTTTAACGATTATCCGTTGTGTCACGATTTGGTCTGTGCAGGACTATTCCTTGCGGACTACGGTTTTGTAGCATCCATTGCTTTTTCGGCATATGTGGTTTCGGACATACTAGACATCAAAAAGATATTCTTTTTGATGGACCACCCTAATTATCGTATTTTGTTTTACATTTTGCGGATAAGTAAAGATTTTGTATTGTTTTAGAATTCTACTCACGGCTAGTAATAGTAATGCACCAAGTAGTTTGAATGAGACTCCTATTGACCAAGGGATTTTTTTAGCAGCGAGAGAGGACTTTTACATATCCTTAAGGGATTGCGGCAGGTAATTGATATATGAATGTCTTAAGTGAATATAATGTTTATCCATCACATCCATCTACACAGTAAAAGAAACCAAAGCGAAGTTTGGAAGTTTTAGTTTGTCTTCTTATAATAAATGTTTGACGTTGTTAGTAAACGATCCGTTGAGTAGGAGGTTTTCTGTTGAATGTGGCATTTACAATTAGTTTCTATTACAAACATGATTCTCTAGCCATCAGAAGATTCCAGCACCTTGAGGAACACAAATGCCTACTTTACAGAGCAGCATTCAACCCAATTATATGACCGTAGTTTATAGTAACTTTGAAATGACCTTACGCATCATGTAAAAATTGTGTAAAATAAATCAGTCACTAAACGTAAACTGCTTTTCTTCGTGTTTGCAGCAGTACGGAAATGTATACTATTTAGGCTGGCTAGTCTAGGTACGTAAAACAGTTTCACCTGAAGCCATCTTGCGTTTCACGTTTTAAGTGTGCGTTTAGACCATTTCGTAGTCAATGGTATACTCACTAAACTAAACCTTAGAACATAGTCACTAGTGTATCAAGTTAACTTATATATCGAGCTGTCTCTGAGTCCTGTAGATAATATAATGGGTCCTTTGTAATCACTTTATTTACAGTAGCACTTATTTGCAATGTCCCAACATTTGAATTAGATAAGTAGTCCATGATCCACATAACACTTCACATAAATCTCTTTACCACCTGGATATTGCCAGTGCTTAAGACAAACCAAACGTCTTCATAACCTTTTACATTGATCACTAGTGCCCTTATGTCGACATTTATAGTTGTTATTGCTGCGTGTTAATAAATTTTATATACTGCGCTAACAAAAGAGACATCTTAAAAGGCTGCACTATCCCTGCCATTTAAGCTATATTTTCATAAATCGTGTCTCCGATTCTGAATTTTATTGTCAAAATATAACATGTCCCACATCAAATTATACGTTAACCCCACTTTCACATTATTTTTACGTCATTTGAACCCGACAGTTTGTAACAGCTTAGGTTGGTTGGTTAAGAGTTGACCCCAAACAACCAAGCATATGCCAAAACAGTATTGTTCAAGTATTCATTCACTTCCTTGTTTTGTATAAGCGTTATATTCCCTATTATCTTATACTGAGTGTTGAGAGCCTTTGTTTGTCTGAACAGATAATCCCACGCTCCACTGTGACCGCGCTAAGATCGAAATAAAGACCTATTCACTACTTGCCTGGTTTCTTCTATCAATAGCACGAGGGTTACTTTAAGGCACGAAAAGTTGAACTACCCCTGGCATTCTTGACCAAACCTTAATTCCGTGTGCATTTGGGTTTATGCATTCAGATACCGCAATAGTTATCTAAGTAGACATTCAAAACATTTGACAGCTTAGTGATTAACACAGTTACTGCATTAGTATATTGTCATGCTTCATTAAAGTGTCGATTTGCTTATAACGTAGTTGTAGTTAGTGTCATTGGATCATTAAAGGTTACCTAGCGGTGTTCGGATTTACCTGTTCCACTGTAAGAAAACAGAATGACTTCTCTTGATATATCGAGCTTTTCGGTCAAAAGGGTTGATGTGAGGTATGTGGGAACAGTGAAATGTTACTTGGCCCTAGCCAAATCATCCTGCGATTGGATCACTGAATATCGGACAGCTCATCAATCCCTGTCAAAGTCAAGGACAACCAACGCGCACCAGTTAATCGTACGCCATGAAATGGCCTATGCGGTGGTGGTCACACTTTCGCTTGTACTTACTTTAACCAATATATTTCTCAGAATGAGTTTTGTGGAGATTTTAGGGAATTTCGCAGGTTGAAATCATGAGTCAATTGAAGCTAGACCACCATGGAAAACCCGGTCCCATACTAGGACGAAACGGCCGTCCAGTGCTTCCAAGTTTTCCATGGTGGTCTAGCTTCAATTGACTCATGATTTCAACCTGTAATATATTTCTGTAATAACGTCCTTTGTGTTGTACAGTCGCCAAAGCATTCATAGTACCTTGGTACGACGAAGGGGTATTCCACATTAGATGTCGGCTGCGAGGTGTGACTTCGACGTTAGCTGTTGTCACACCATTCCCGTCTAGCTCGAGTAGGCTCCCAGTCATTCGACAGAAATCATCAATGTTGATTATCTACAGGTACATCATTTCACAGAATCCCTTGATCTAGCATGAGACAATTAGACATTACTGCAATTGAATCAGATATATATCGACACTGGTATCTAGAACCATCAGCGACCGCATTAGAAGAGAAATAAAAATAGACAAACGGGCAACCAAACAAGAGGCCATTGAAAAGGTTCTCATGTGAGGCATTTAAAACCATCACATAACGGAACGCAAGCTAACCAGTAGAATTGAATTAACGCAATTGAAAATCATATGCTCATTTATATATCATGTTTTAAAAGAAGTATACAGTTATGCGAACCTAATATATCTATATTAAACACCATAAAAACATTAATTGCAATGATATCTATGTATTGACGATTGTAGCCTTCACATGTGTCCATTTCTAAACTCGACCTTCCTCAGCTTGTCCCCGAGCTAAGTTCATGCCTGTAAGAATAGAAAATCCGTGGACACTATAAGAATCTGGATCTCGGTAAATGTGGAATTTAATTGGATGCACGCTGTGATTACTGAATGATGCATAGGTTAACTGAAATACGACTCCGTGAGTACAATCAAGCATTTAGTTTTTGTCATATGGACACTTTTAGGGCTTTAAGTTGGCTACGTGGAAAGGTGATAAGGATTTGGAGATGTAATTTTGGATAACCCATTTCTAAATGAAAAGCAGAATAGATGCAATTTACTTAATGTATTATCATGCAAGATGGTCCAGCGACACTAATTTGGTCAAAGGACATTAGTCGAGTGCACGAAAGCTGGATTCTTTAGTCTGTCTGAACAAACAGGACACTAGGCTGGATTAAAAAACTTATTGCAGACACTGATACAAGTCAACCGACCTACTAGTCTTTTTAAAGTCTTTGTTTAAGCAATGAAAAGGGAATTTCCAAGAGTAGTATCAATCATCAGCTTAGCAACCAGTGTGAAAAGCAATAAAAGCGTGACCTCATTCATTGAACGTTCTATTGAAACCTCGCCATTACTACGGGGTATAATGTTTCGAATTATTTGAATTATAGCACGAACTAAGAGTCCCAGAAATAACGCAATTGAATTAAGAAGTAAGACACAAGCACAAGCGAATGTATTGTATTTGGAACTCGCAATCGAGCATTCAACAAGTACAAAGGTATCATTGGTTCATTCAAACACCACATGGGGTCAAGTCAAAAGATTATTTCCGTATCAGAAACTACTTTCGATGTCTCTTATCATCATTTCCATTTCCTCTCTAATTCTTTCACTTCCATCTTCTTACACATTACCAATTAATAAAATTATTCGCCGTTCTCAAATTAATCACCTTCTCTCAGCACTCAAATTATCACTCATTGTTTTCACATTACGACTAATCGACCACCTTTGTGGTAAGGTTATGACTAGTGGAATATACACACTGGACATTACCGAGTACCTGGAACCGTACCAAAACAACGACAGGGGAGCGCAAAGAAATCAATCGGTTTGTACGAACTGGCGAAAAGATATCGAAAGAATATATCGGAGATTATTGGCTCAATAATCCCATAAAACAAGTTAGGAGGCTCCTGAATGATTGAAACAATGATTATACCAGTCCACATTAAGGAAGTGTCCTACAAAACCTAAATGCAAACCTCCACGAGGTGAAAAATCTCACCCTCCACCAACAAAGACCACAGTTCAAAATTCTATGAAAATTGTATTTTATGGTACTTTTGTTTTGATTTACTACATTTTGCTAATTTTCTATAGTATCTAGTGTAGGCTGTTTGAAAATGAAAATTAAAGTCGTGACGAATGACTGTATAATTCATATCCTTTTTTATCATGCTAAAAGTGGTTTAATATTGTCATATTAGGAGTTATTTACTTAACAGCATGAACATAATGATTTAGCTAGTTCTGTTGACTGGGTGTCTTGCGATGAAATAATTTCGACTGCTGATGACCGAGTTGTTAAATATTGGAATCTGATATCAGATCAAGTGTCAGACTTATTCAGTTTGCCGCAAAATGTATTTCCAACCTGTATGGACTGGCATCCCAGACAAAGGACGAAACAATCTACCAAGGCTGCAAGAGGAAGTGAAGTATTCTTACTCGGAGCTACTGATGGTAAAGCTACACGATAGTTTTTGAGATTTTTTAGGGAAATGCCACATAATTTCTAAAGAGAAAAGAATAGAGCGAACTTCGGATGCTCATCAAGGGGCTGTTCTATCTGCGAAATGGAATTTCGATGGAACTTCTTTTGCCACATGTTAGTGTGCATCATGCAAATAACACTGTTCATTTAGCTGGAGAAGACGGGCAAATAAAAATCTGGTCACGGAGTGGGATGTTAAGATCCACCTTGTGTCAACACAGTAACTTGGTTTTATATTGTGTAACGAACTTTTCCTCAATCAGGTTATCCGATCTACTCGATTTCATGGGGTGATAACTCTAATATGATGCTTTTTCCCTTGACAGACAACTAGTTATACAATCTCTTCAAGCGAATGTTAAACCTTTTGCCGTAAGTGAGTTAAACACCTCAGAGACTTGCTTCCTGTAGTGGAAAGCTCATGATGGTGTCATTTTGCAAGTTGATTGGAATGTCATCAACAATCAACTTATTTCCGCTTCAGAGGATTGCAAATACAAAGTAAAACACCACGATTATAACCGTATTTTAGGTATGGGACAATTACGGGAGGCTCTTGTATTCGAGTGCGCCTTTTGAATACCCAGTTACTTCGATTTCATGGTCTCCTGATGGTCAGTTATTTGCAGTTGGATCGTATGCTACTGTAGTGTTGTGTGATAAACTTGGGGTGAGTTTACGATATTTGTCTTGTATCGTCCATTGTTTGTCTGATGTAAAAGGAGACTTCCATCACAACTTCGTCCAGTTGTGGGATATTAATTTAACTCTAATCCTTGGAAATGATTTATACTTAAAGGATAAAAAGAGTAGAACATAAAAATACTGGAGTCATTGTTTAATATGGAGATACAGATAATCAACGTACTATTTGTACTACTTTAGAATAAAACCAAGAAATAAATTTTAAAATGTCAAACGTTTTCCTCTGGGAAACATAAGCATTTATGGTTCTCATATTTCGAAAACGCTGAAGAACTTCAATAGTGTTCTTAGATGAATTTAGTGTTGTAATTTATATTTTAGACCAGTCGAAGACATCATCTTAGATACGTGTTTATCGGTAAATTTTTGGCTTTTCAGAATAACTAATCTATCAAAATATTTTGGAACTTTAGTTTGCATTTGCATTTTGGTAACAGTTTTCAGTTCGTCTCTAATCCTTTCTAACTGAAACTGAAGCTGTAAACATACAGTTGTGATGAATCTATAGGGAAATCTAACAATCATAGTTACGTCATGTCTTGTTTTTTTTAGTCTCGTTAATTATTTTGCATTTGTTAGCACTCATATTCATAGTGCATCTTCAACCATTTGGGGACTGATACTCATGGAGTGGTTTGAGATTGTATCACTGTGATAATCTGAAGTATTTGAATTATAGTACGAGCCAGGAATCCCAGAAATAACGCAATTTAACCGAGGAGTACTAGATTAGCACGAACGAAGGTATTGTATTTGGAATTCGAAATCAAATAGCCATCAAGTACAAAGAGATCAATAGTTCATACAAACACTATGATCACTTACAGACATTGCGACCGAGTCATTCAAGAATCGATAGAGGTGTGTTCTAGTTTGTACTTGTGTGGCTGTTTAAGTTCAAGATAGAATCACATTAGTGTTGATCACTGAAATCAACATAGATCAAGTCCAAATTCATAGGGCTTCACGTTTGCGACTGTTTTGACTGATAATAACAGTGAAACCGCTAGAGATCAGCAAGCACGGAGCAGTTATTTTGTTTTAATTTTGGGTTTTTAGCAAGTCTGAATTTCAGGAGATACTCTGCAGGTTTCAGTAAAGAGATGAATTTGATACATTTCGATCGCATCAAAAGTGAAGAAGACATGATTAATGATATTAGATCATGGTCGTACCATTTTATTGATTGATTGAAGTTTTTGTTGTATGCCACTGGATTTTCACTTATGACCACAGTCCCTAGCTTTTTAATGGTTCTTCAATGCACATCAGTTCGTTAGATTGCGCTACGTTCTTAACATCACCCAAAGCAATCTGAATTAATTTAAATGTTATTTCCTGAATTTTTAACTTTCAGTGGATTCATACTTTGGAGAAAACACATACTGGTAGTATTCTGAGTATCAAATGGTCTCCTGATGGTAATCAAATAGCGTGTGCTGGTGGAAATGGTCGAATAATTAATGGATATGTTACTGAAAGATGTTTAGAATGGAATGGTTTTGAAGCAGTGTTAACAGATGAACGAACTGTTGTATTACACAATCTACGGAATGAATCGATAGAACGTTTAGAATTCCGTGATCGCGTATCAAAAGCATCATTCAGTTTCAATTACTTTATTGTAGTAACTAGCACTCAGTGCTATGTATACAAGTGAGTGTTTAGTAATTTTTTATAAACCATTTTGTCGTCTAATTCCGAAATCGATTTCAGCACTGTTTGAAATCAATGAGGGATCTTTTGAAAACTATAAAGCACTTGATGGTTGGCTTTTTCTGGTTGTAAAATTCCCATCCATGATCTCATTAATGACTGAATCAAGAACATCCAAGTTTCATGGCGAGCACGAGCGCCAAGTCGAAACTTGGTGATTTATATTTCTAGCTTGACCTAATTCGTGACGTGGAATTAGTTCAGTTTTCTCGAATCATGTTATCTATGTCAAACCTTTATTATTACCACAGATACTATCGACAGTACTCAGGCGTTTATCTGTACAATTCGATCTCATTATGCTTATATAGCTTGGCAACTTGAACTGACATACATATGCGCCAAATTCTACGTCGCTGGGGAATTAATAAAAGACTGACGACCAGCATCCAATGTTATTGAGGATATCTGGGTTACTCATGTATACTCATATATATATATATATATATATATATATATATATATATATATATATATATATATATATATATATATAATAGTTATTCAACTGAATGGCTTGTAGAGATAAGTTTGATTTGGATGACACGACAAACAACTCAGTAGGCTACTATTATATCTTTTATTTTATTTGTAGAAGAGATAACTAGTAAGGATTAAGGGGACGTTTCGATCTGTACATTAAGTACTAATAAAAAGGAGTTCAAATGTAGTATTTTCATCCCAACTACCCTAAGTCGTTTGAAATATAACAAATTCCCATTAATTAGTGAATATTTTAAGTAAGTAAGTTCACTTCATACCAAAGGACATGAAACTAAACCCAGGTTAAGAAGTTTAATCATAAAATTGAGCCAATACAGTGAAGATGCCACATATATTTGGAGTTTGACAACGCTTTAACCAGTAACACCTTCTAATATGAATCGGACCCACTAACTGAAATCAAAAGACAGAAGAGAGGAGGTTCGGAGATATATTTGATAGGCTATCAATATATCGAGGATCGTCTGATCTAATCTGGCTAGCGATTACAGAGGATGTTGAACACGGCGTTCCCACTCGTAAACTTTTGCGGATACATGACCGAGCGCCTTCAGTTTGGTGAGTCCATTCAAACTAATGTGGTCAGCATCCAATGTCAAAGACTTACAGAGCTGTTTATTTTGGGGATTTATTTACCACTACAACAGTATTTATTCAATCAAATAATTGTCTAATATCTCAATATTATGAAAATTAAAGCTTACAATTAGTAATTATTAAAATAATTCAAGTGGTGACTACTTAGCGCTACGAAAAACTTGCGACTAAGTTGTAGTATTCAGGCTATGTGGTAAATATATATGCATGCGTAAAGAGAGTAATCAGTTACTGTTCTTAATATCAACAAATAGAAAACACAGACCTCAAAAACGAAATTTGTATTTGTTTCACAAGATGGTGAATATATGAACTCAACAACTCAGAGGATAATGAGCTTAGGATTCGAAACGACTGGTACAAGTTCCGAGTTACAGTATGGACATAACCATTGGTGTACAGGGGAATCCAGCGGAAGAGTTTAAAGTGAGGCCAACATCAAAATTTACCAGGCTTTAGGTAGTTTCTGTTTCAAGACATCTATCATTATTTGTTAGTTTAATTATGTATTACAATATTTAACTTCTTATAAATTTATTTTTCAGTATTAAAAATTTCAATACACCTACCATTATTGAACTTAAAGAGTCCAGCGTTACTCATATTTCTCAATGTCAAAAGTGAGTTATTTAACATCTTACCATTTTGTAATAATGTTTTAATCATTCGAGTGGTTAAAAAAGATTTTCATGAGTAAAAATACCTGACTAATCAATTTACCGAAATATTTAACTTACTAAAATCTAGATAATATAAAAGCTTCGAATCAAAATGGTTGCTTCTCAATGACTTATCATAAGTTTGATTTCTAACTGTGAAAGTATAACCTTCAGGCGATATAAATTTATTGAAAATTCAAAATTTACAAAATAACCGGAAGAATAATGCTTCAGCCACTAAAGTATAGTTCATAGATAATTTAGGACCTAATATGGATACTTATCAGTTCAAATTGTCATATCACTACATTAGCTTATTAAAAGAAAACTTTCTGTGGGAAGAAGCTGAGAATAGTCCATTTTGAATGTGAAACCATTGTCTTACACAAATGCCCATGGTAGGACTAAAGAGATTCATACCACTTGTGAAACTGAGTAACAATAGAGTCGTTAATGAGACTCCATTCCAACAGAATAGTCTGAAATTGAAATGTCTCTAATCTTATAGTTTACATCATGGACTCTTCGAAGTTAAGCATGTAAACTATCGGATGTCAGCCCAGTCATCTAGATTTTGGGGATTTATGTTGTTTGAGCTGATTTAGTCTTGAAATTTCCATTGTTTTCCTAGACAATATCAGCATATATTTTAAGAAAGTAAGCTATTAAGATTCTTTCCCCGGTGATTAAAACTTGTTCTGTTGCTTTTAATTTGATTAACTTCATAAAGATTCTCTTTTCTTAAAGGTATAACTCGACAGAGGTAAAGTTAGAGACATCTTACACAGTAGGGTAATTAGAAGAACAACAAATGTTAATGTAGCTGAACTTTCCAGTTGATTATTATTAGTTTTTCAACTAAAGAGTAAGTTACTTGTTTTCACACCATTACCGTGCATTTACGAATCCAACTGATCCTATGGAGAAAGCTGTTTTCGATGTTCTATTGAACAACTGAGTCAACAAATTAACAAAAATGTCTTTTTACGGGTTTAAAAGGATCAGACAAAATCCATATGCAACTCCGTTCTATCACATTAAAACGACATTCGCCATGTGTTAGATTGGACAGATGTAGTGAGAGTGATTCGACCTCGTATCCTACATATAACAGACCTTATAAGGATTGGAGCTAACAACGTTAACCTCTGTATTCAAAAGAAGTTTATAACACTCTTGTCTCCATCTTGTCTGGAAAACTCAATAGAAAATTCTACCAGTTTATCACACCCTTTGTTTGTTTGTTTGTTTTGTTACACCCCTTTTGTCCCTACTTACATATTTGAGCTAATTAATCACGAATCTTCTATTATTTAGTTCTTAGTAATTATTATGTTGATAAGCTTATTTTCTCAAGTCTAGACCTACTCTTTATGTCAAAATATCTATTTAGTCTATTATAATTATTATAATTATTACTAAACCTTTAATATTGCTATCAATTTATACTTCCTACTTATTATGATTAGTCATATAATCCTTTTTCAGTATTATCATTGACTTGTAAATTGTCATGATTGGTTTTGTACTTTTCATGCACGGAAATAAATATTATGGTGTACTGGACCAGAACCTAATCAAAATCGAATCAACTATGTTGAGTGTGAGGCAGTCACACATCAAGTATATTGGAAGATGATTAAGCGATATTACGACTCGATGGAATTAAAAGATGTAAACCATCCAACGCCGTGTTAGTGGCATACAGGCTGGGCGTTCGCACACAGTGCCGAAGGTTGGCGATGCACACTACCATTATTATTACTGTTTAGACATTTAAACGTTGGTACAAGGAGGCACTACATATATATGCGCCACACAAGTGATTCCATTTGTGTGTATTAGGATAATGCCAGGGCTTCAACACCGAAGCGCACTGCTAAGCAGTCCCACATTAGAACGAGGTAGCTATCTGGTGCTTCCTCATTTATGATGATTGTTTAACAAAGATCAGTTTGTGATTTTCACCATGGAATCCAAAATATCTTCACCCCCATGAGAGGCGATATTATTCTTTTAGGTGAGTTATTCTACTTCAGGGGATAGGAATTCTCAATAATCCAACCATAATTATTCTGTACCATAATTTGAAAAAAACAGTACGATCGTGATATTTACAAATCTTTGATTATTTATAGGTATTAAACCGAATTTCCATTATAAAAAGATATACGTTGATGGAACTACTTTCAGACTTGTCAAATTTGAAGATGACTTCCATCATAGACTGATGTATGTAGAAAAACTATTGAAATCTAGGCCACATGATCCTAACTCATTAATATCGTGTTCACCACAAGATCTGATATCAGTAAATGATGAAAGCTGTCTTCTAAAAAAAGGATTCCAGTTAAAAAATACTGTTTTCTTTAAGTTAAACAATAATAATTACTAATCTTTTTACTACAGATATTTTGCTTTAGCTGATGGATCCAGTGTGTATATCTACAATTATGATGTACGTCTTGTTTGTTCATTAAAACATGCTAATATACACGCGGAACAAATTTATGCAGATTCTTTAACTATGAGCAATGATGTAATTGGTATTAAAGATCAATTAGATAAGAAAAGTTAGTTTGTTTAAATTAATATGATAAGATCATTGTTTATTAATCCTATGAAGACCTGTCTGTTACATAATCTAGTTATTTTGAAATCGTGATCAGTAATTTATCCAATTAGTTGGAATTTCATGCAATTGGTTCCCTTTATGAATTTAAATAAAGCAAGAACAAATAATGGTGCAGAATAGTATGAATTCATATTATTTCGAGGTTTCTCGTCAGCTGCTTACAAACCAAAAAATGTGATAGAATTTTTACATTGAGATAGAGTGAAAACAATTGACATAGATGAGTGTAAATAACTGGGTTACAATAATAACTATATATATATATATATATATATGCTAGAACAGATCAGAGGTCAAAAGGAATTAATTCGGGTTGGGTGGTGTAATAATGGAATTGAATAATCATAAGATAGGTTACGTAATAATAATTAAATAGAATTTAATATTAAACATTAGAACTGGGATAAATATGCATCCATCCAAGTTGTTTTACTTTTTATCAGCAAAATATAAGAGGAAATAAAAAGAACTAAGTGAAAGAGAGTGAAATAGTAACAGTATCAGTGATGATAAAAAGTTAAACAGAAAATTTATCTTATAATGAATCAATCAGGTCGGGAAATAAAAGGTATGAGATAGTATGTAAACTCAAGAGTTAGAAGATGATAAAGAACAAATATAACTGAACTACTATGACCGGTTTTAAAAGATTCCACTTGATGTCTTCTACCACAAAATATGATTATCATGAAAACACGTTCCAAGTCGAAGTCCAATGGTTAGTGAATTATTAAACTAATAACACATATTGATTTGGATGCTATGGCTTTTTTTCAGCCATCTTTTAACCTAGACACCGCTGACTGTTGTAGATGGTCGTGGTTAGGATATATGTCCTGCATGCATGTTGAATGTTTGTGGTCTTATCAGTCGACTTAGAATTTTGGCTTAGTATTAGTATATCTAACCTCACCATTACTCATTTATTGGTTCCATTGTACTTGAACAGCATATGAAAGGCATTTGTAATCGAATACTTGCAAACTTCATCGGCTTTTTTTATTTTCAAAGGTAATATTTTATGGAGATAAAGTAACATAGAGAAAGATGATACGTAGCCTACTCATTCGGATAGACAGGTGTGCATTTAGCTTGAATCACGGGCACCTTAATTTAACGGAAGTAAAACTAACTTCGTTTTTATCCACATTAAAAAATCATCAACGACCGACCCATCAAAGCTGATAAGATTCCCATGATATATAAAGAAGTGAATATGCGTAATGCCTTGATAGATTGTGTGTTGCTTTAAACCAATATGATGGAATGATCAGTGAGGATAGATAATTGAAATAAAAAATAATCATAATTTTTTGTGGTTGCCGATATTTAAAAATCATAACTTGTGTTTGAAATAAACCATCAAGTTAACCATGTTGATTTTGGAATTGGTTTTAAATTGAAGTCATAATTTAATTACGAATTATGCAACAAAGTTGTTTATTATTTTGTGAACTAATAAACCATTGAATAGTTTTGTCATATACCAACATCAGTTAGTTAATCATTGAAAACCACGGGGTGGGGCAATAAACAGTAGTTCACTTCTAGTATAGAACAAAATGACAATGCTCATTAACTATCCAATCATGATTTGAACCTAGAACCCTCAGATTTCACTGCAAGCACATTGTCAAGGAATCAGCTATTAAGACTAAACAACTGTCGATTTCTTTCATGTTTATGGTAGCATCTTAACTGCTGTCAATTCATAACAGAGATCACCTACAAATTAAACTAATCTATTTTAGACTCTTTATTAAATAAATATTTATTAACCTATGTTGTCCTAACATGAAAAAAATGATTTATAATACAGGTTCTATTCCTATTTGATTTACTTTTCAGTTATTCACTTATTTGATCCATCGAGTGGTAAAACGCTAGGTGATGGGAAACCAATATCACATTCGGTAAGTGCTATCATTTTGTTATATTATTATTGAATAATATCTATAACTATTAAATCGAATCAAATTCCATAGTTTATTTATATCACAATCTGAAGTTAGGTGAAAAACCATTAAGTAGATAAATATCCTACAGAAGAGGGCCATACAAAAGTTGCCAAATGCGAAGGACACTCTGTGTCAATCAAAAATATCCTGATGCCAAGTGCATGCGATTGGTCACGAAATAGTTTTATTTTCTAAGGAATATATATGGATGTGAATTGGTGTAGCTTAGTTAACCTCCATCCTCACTCTTATCCTTCTCACTTAGTAGCCGGTTGGATGTTGGATATAGGAAGTTTGTGTATCAGTAACAGTCTTGAACATCATTCAATACTAACGGAGTATCACAATCCCATAACAGACTTAATGAACTCCATAGGTCAACAATTTTCAGTGAGAACTTTTGGAAACTAATTTCCAAGTTATTCAGTCATGGTTCTTTTTTAAAAAAAAGATCAAATAATTTGAAACCTTAAGTATTAAAAGGGCAAATTGACTATGATTTGAAGAAAGCTAACGAAACAGTTTCTTTTAAAATAGGGCTTGATTTAGTCCCAAACTCACTTATTTATAATATTTACTATAAATAATATTGAATTTTCCTACTGATTACTGTTGGGGATGTTAGATCCCCAGAACTCACTTGGTAAATGCCTTAATTTTGTAATTTTGTTTCGAAAAATTTGAATTTCCTTGTTTTCGCGCCAAAAGCGCTCTTTTTATCTTCATGTCGTATTTTCCAATTGGGAGAATCGTTAACGCTATTGGTCTGTTGTGTATTTTAGTACGCTATTTTGTAACGCTTTCCAAGGACAGTTTTATGCTGTATATATACGTTTAATTTGTGTCTGTAGTTATTGCTCGCTCGTGTTTCTGGCTTTTTGCGGAATATACTTCCTCGTTCGGACTTCGACTTCCCTCTCTAGTTAGCGGGGCTGGGACGCAATAGAATAGCTAGTTTATTGGTCTTTGATCACAAGTATTTGTTCCGTTCTCAGACTAAGTGAACTCGTCACCGCTTGAAACCTAGTGATTACATAGTTTCTGTTAGGAAATTTTTCATTTTTAAAAATGTGGATCATATTTACTTGAATTAAATTATTTCATGTCAATTGTACAGACTGATTATAGAATATCCAAAATTAAATTTACAAAATGTTTTGTTCTATACATGCGCTATGATAATTTGATTAAAGGATATTGACCTTCAAGATTTAATTGATATACAAGATCTATCAGCTGATTTATGCTATTGAATCTTTTCCTTAAAATATGAGCTGTACCATTCAATAGACGAATGGATTTTTTAAAATGATTTATAATTGTCTTTCCTAAGTTTTATTGACGAATTCGGGTAATTATCAGTAATGAGTTGTGGAGATTGTTGAGCTTAGATTAATATAATAAATGGATTAATGTTAGAATACCATCGGAAATATAGAGTAACTGGACGACCTTTTCATCCTAACATGGAACTTTTCCTCAGCACTCATCCACGATCCAATAGGTTGGACTCGAACCCAGGACCTTCGGACTCGCGCACAAACGCTTAACCTCTAGACCACTGAGTCGGCATCTGACGGTGTTAAAGTCGAACAACAATCAATCCACCATATTACATGTCCATTTTCCTTTATCTCTATTGAGTAACTGCCTTACAACGAGATGGGTTTCCTGGAGCTCTAATGAAAAGCCATGACCAGTGGAGTTCATCCGTGTCTGTTGTGAGGCAGTTACTCATGAAGACAATGGAGGACAGTCGCACAATATCATGGACCGGTTGAAGTTAGACACTAACACCGTTAGATGCCGGCTCAGTAAGCGTTCGCACGTGAAACTGAAGATCGAGTACGCGTGCGGGATCGTGTATGCACACTACTGAGGAGTCCCATACTAGGATGAGTACGAATGAGTTCGAAATCGAGCTTCATGATTTTCGATCAGTTATTTTCAAACATTGGATTATACTATGGTTATCGAATATAATAATATACTGTTTCTGTTTTCCGTTTACTTGACATTTCACTGATACGACAGCCTTTTTTCTTTGTTTTATAGAATGAAATTATTAAAATCAGTTTAAATCAAATGGGTAACTCATTTGATCGTCGATTGGCTCTGTTAGATAATAACAAAGACTTATATTTAATGTCAATTAGAATACTTGGTAATCAAAGGAAAATGGTTAAATTAGGTAAGTTTATCAGGTGACTGAGACAAAAAGTCGAATTGAGTATTACTTGTAGTCAGATTTTGTCAACTTATGTTGATTGCGGTGTAGTCGAGATACCCATTTGTCAACTAAAGGATATGTTTATTATGCAGTATTTTTCTCCTTTCTATTTAGAAATTTGAAATACAGCCTTTTAGAGCAGAAGCTACTAGTATTCGATCACAGCTGTCTTCAAAGCATTGGTTGTATATTCTGCGATCAATAAATTAGTAATTCTGAGGTCATACGCAGAGTACTAGGTAAGTATAGCAAATCAATTGACGAAGTAGTGGATCTTAATCAACTGAGATTGTTGGGACATGTATTACAAATGCAAATCCACTGATTACCTCGACGGGTGATAATGGCTGATGTAGGAGTAGGTTGGAAGAAATTTATGGTCGAGAAAACCATACATAGCAGCAGTCCATAAAGTCATTGACAAATGGACTGATCCGAATTAACAGATGTAATTACCTGGTTGGGGTCAGAATTTAGTTTGACAATTATAAACACCTAGATTCAGTGGTTGGTAGAAACAAGTTTCACTGGAAGTTTCAATAAACATAAAGATATAATTGGTGAATTAGTCTAACGATAAGACAAAATTTATCCCTCAGATTAAAGCTTTAGTCATTAACAAGTACAATCACTAGTTTTTGTTAAGTCAGTATTGTGGGTTTACGACCATGTCTAAGTAATGTTCATGAGATAAATATAGTAATAGGTTTTGCTATTTAAGTATTTCTTTTATGCATATTTTTCATTAAATAGTACTGATCGATGTTCAGTTATTCTTGAGTTATATAAATTTAACTTTTACAAATTCTATTTAGCTACAATGGTTAGTTCATTTCTATGGGCTGAGACATCAAATATTTTGGCAGCCATAACAAACGATAAACTTGTCATCTGGTTCTATCCTGATATTGCACTGACCAATAGTGATATACTTAACTTAACACAAGAAGAACATAACATAATGTAAATTTTATTGAAGGAATTTCGAAAGTTTGATGATTGCTGATTTTTTTTATTGATTATTTGAGCCTATTTTATTGAAATTCAGTAGTAAAAGTGGTAATTCCTATATTCCAACTACCTGGTTGTTTCACCTAAGCTTTTTCGAAAAGTGATTTATAATAGTGAATTATTCACTTAGTCGGTGTATTGGTTCACTTAATAATCAACATGATGAGGTTAACAACAGATGAATTCTGTTCCAAGTAAAAGAAATATACGTCTAAATATTTAAAGTGGTATGTATCCGCAATCGGATTGGGTGCTTTTTCATTAACTTTAAGTTTTCCATTCACCCACATAGTTTCATATAGTTATTAGTACTATAATACACACACATCTATTAAACACAACATAGATGATCAAATATCAAATAAAAAGGGTTATTGAATCTCACAGTTCGAAATTTTAAAGTGGGTTTAGTATGTTTCCTGTTAATTAAACTCTTTGATTTTCAGAAAGTATCTAATGATCTCCTAATAATCCCAAATATAAAATTTCAATGTCTGTACTGAATATTTTCGTAAGATAACATGAAAATCTATAATTTATGTCAGGATCATATGTCGGTAGTTGGAAAACGTTTGATTAATTTGATTTTTTAATAGAATATCATACATATATGATGTACGTAATACAAGTCGGCACTGAATTCTTATCTCTGGTGAAGTTAAGATTAATATAGTTTTACATTATATACCGGTGTCAATTAGGCAACCATTGTAAACGAGGAAGGACTGGATAGTTGTTCTGCAGTGTACATCCAGGACCTTACTAGGAGTAGAACATAGGACCTTCAAGTCTCTTGACGAGCCCTTAACCTTTATACCACCAAACTGAAATCCAGTAGCTTGGATTCTTAACTGCAAATGATTTACAATACAACCCACCCATCTTTTAATGGCATTGGTAGGTAGCTGACTGCCTCACAACCGACATGGTAAGACTCCACTATTCACGTCTTTAACTCCGAGAATCACTTTTAAAAATTATTCACTAGTGGGTGTATGATGATTCTATGGAGGACTAATTAATTCTCATCAGTGTGGGCTTTCTTTTTAAAAAAATGATTAGATGTACTTAGATGAAGTTCATAAGTTTTTCCCTTGTCGATATTCATGTGTAGCAAATGTGAACATGTATCTTGAGTCTCATTTCATCACATTTAAATAATTTTATCAACACTGGGATGTGAGTACATCCAACTGATGAGTTCTAAATTAAACGAAACACAAATCTTGGATTCCATTGTTAGCCATCATCCAACTCTGGTGACAATTCTATTTTATTCTTACATAGTATACAAATTATTGATGATTGATTTATTGTAAATGAATTTGTGAAAGCATCAAGAATCTAGATTAGAAATTCAAACTTTAAGTTCAAAAACATATAGTACGTTAACAAGTATGCTCGCAGTGGTTTAATCTATCTGTACATTATGACATAGACTTTTCAGCGTATACAGACTAGTGAATTGATATGTATGTGAATTTAAATGAATTATGGATACTGTTCAATTTAAAGTGAGTTTTTATTATAGGATGATATTTCATTGAGTTACTACAAAAAATGTATAAACGACGGACAATTAAAATTTTAAGTTTGACTCAGTAAGTTCTTTAGATCATGTCCGACGCGTAATTGTCAGGTTATGGGTTCGATCCCTGGCATGAAATTATTCACTGATAATCTCCAAATCAGGATAAAAGACCTATTAGAACTTTTTATTTTTCAACTTTTGCGGATGATGTCAGTCTGTGATAAAATCATGTTTTTAAAATACTTACGTCTGTTACTCCCAATGGAGCATAGGCCGCCGACCAGCATTCTCCAACCCATTATGTCCCGAGCCTTTCTTTCTAGTCCTATCCAATTTTTGTTCATTATCTTCATGTCTGTCTCTATTTCTCGGCGTAATGTGTTCTTTGGTCTTCCTCTCCTTCTTTGGCCTTGAGGATTCCATATGAGGGCTTGCCTTGTGACTCAGTTGGGTGCTTTCCTCAATATGTGTCCTATCCACTTCCAGCACTTCTTCCTGATTTCTTCCTCCGCTGCGATCTGGTTTGTTTTCTCCCATAGTAGGTTGTTGCTAATAGTGTCCAGCCAACGGATCCGAAGTATTTTGCTTAGACAGCTGTTAACAAACACTTGTATCTTCTGGATGATGGCTTTCGTAGATCTCCATGTTTCTGCCCCATACAGTGGAGCTGTTTTAACATTTGTATTGAAAAATCTGACCTTGGTGTTGGTTGACAGACAGTTGTTTGGAGTTCGAGATGTTCTTCAGTTGTAAATATGCTGCTCTTGCTTTACCGATCCGCGCCTTCATATCTTCATCAGATCCATCGTGTTCACCAGTGATGCTGCCCAGATATGTAAAAGTTTTTAAAATACCCCAACTATTTATTGTTTACTTACTATTTATTAAATGAGTATCGATAAATCATTGTTTGTTTATCATTTGGTTTGTAATTATCAGTGATGATTATGGGAAACAATTGGAATTGATTAATTTTTATCGAGATCGAATAATGATAAAACGGGCTGATGGAAGTACTGTTTATTGTCCGATTTCATTTACCCTGATAAACTACATCAATTAATTAGTCTAAGTAAATGGAATGAAGCACTCAAGTTATGCTGGACAGTTAAGGTAAACTAATATTTTATCAGTGTGTTGCAATTTTATATATGATTTACCAAATGACATTGAGCAATGAACAATAGCAAGATCTTGATGCTTATTGGTCGTCAAATCTTTCTTAGCTAGTAGCCAATCAAAAGACGTAAATAAGAAGTAGACTAGATGTCTGTTGTATTCAGTTCAGTTGTAGCTCAAAATACATACAACATTACGATTGAAATGCCTGATCATACAGAACACCAAACAAGAATCATACTTTAAACACAATCCTACCATAAGTGGTAAAGAGCAGAGCAAACAGTATAATTAATTGGTAATAATTAGGGATGGTAATATATATAACAACAGTTGATAGGTCCACTGAAAGCTTGAGATAAGGGGAGTACAGAAATGCGACAGAACGGTTATTTACTATTTATACAATAAAATTATAAATAATAATAATATAATACTTGTCGCGTTATAAAAAACTATATTACATTAATCTTTGCAGTGACTTTTAATTCACTTTTACTGCTGGTGAGGTTATCTATGAACAGAAGATCCACTTCATGATCGTTTAAAAGTAAAAACAAATTGTCTATTTATAAGTCAGTAATCTTACATTGAAATAGTCAGTCCCTTTGAAAAATTCAAACAATGCAGTAGAGAGAGGTAAAGTTCGTCAGAAACATGATATGTTGATGCAATACATTATAAGTAATCTGTTGCCGATCGACATGTGAGTGTGAACACATGCAAATAGGGATGAGTAATCGGTATTTGCAAACTGGGTGGGTAAACAAGTATCAAATGTCTGAAAAAACAAAGAAAATTCAATGATCTAATAACAGTAGATGACAAGCACCCATCTTCTATCATTACCAAACTGAATAGTTGAAATAGATCACGTAACTTGTCCGAATTCAGCCTTTGAAGTTTTAAGTCATGTGCTGCTTATTTAAATGTTCAACTTTATGTTCAACACTGAAGTTGATCAGTCTCTTTCTAGCATATTTACATCTTGAGTAGATTGCCTTGATAGTGCCACTAAGTCACAAGCATTTTCTAAGCAGAGATGAATGGTGGCTAGCAGTGGAATTCAGGACGCATATCCCATCGTATTTGGTACTTGTCAGCGGGATGTATCTAAATCCCACAGTTGATGTTCACTCTGGGACAATAAAGTTTAGTTTTTTCATAACGTCACTTAATTCGTAAGTTAATAATAAAAAGCAGTTTGAAAGTGTCTTTACGTTTGTTGGTCGTCAGTCGTATTGTCATAGATCAAAGTAAAGACCTGTAAATGAAATGAGTTTATTGTTGAACTCTTACAAATGTACTTCCACATAAAGCCGTTAAGAGATGCAATTAAACTCAGAATTATATTGTTATTTATTATTTAAAAACACAATAGGACCGGATTCTTTGGGCATGTTTAGCTGGCATAGCAACAAATGCTAAAATGTTGGATGTAGCGGAAATAGCATTTGCTGAAATTGAAGAAGTAAGTTTTTCTAAAAAGAGAAAAGCACGAGATCATAATTATTCTATAAATATATATTATTTAACTTGCTAATTTTTAACCGAATCGATTTGAATAGTGTTTCTAAAATGCGGTTGTTAAGGATGCGATGTGATAGACCTAAGAATTAGACGTATTGACATCGACTTCTTAACCGCTTTCTAGTCCTCAGAGATATTTTACTCGTTAACAATGCACCGGACAACAATAAACGGAAAATACGAAAGACTCTCTAGATTCAAGGCTAGTGACCTTAAGATTTCAGAAGTTTCTGCGAGCAGGTTGAAATCGCTAATGAGATTGTTAACCATAATATAATCTGTCGTTTTCTCGAATTCCTCTGGGGGTTTCTAGAGATCGCTGAGTGGACTATGTATTCTCAGCATTATCTGCTCCTTGTAAGACATTTCTAGAAATTACAAAGGACACCCTGTAGGACTAAAAACTTCATTTGCAAAATGTTAATCAATCGTTTCAGACTTCAAAGTTCCTTCATTTCCACACCAATCATTCACTGTTCTCGTTCTCTTTTCTTCGATCTTCTTAACCTTCCGCTGCCAGGTATTTCACTTCCGATTGATGATACATACTACTTATATCTGTCGACATCCGTAGCACACAATGCATTAGTAATAATCACGTTGAATTAAAAACGGAATGTTGAACAAAAATCACAATGAGCAGAGAAAATGAGAACTTTTTTCCTTTTCATTCAGTCATTTAACCCAGCATACTTCATTTGAAGCAAAGTCTATCCAGATTATGTCATGTGAACATATCACATCACTCCAATCCTTACATGAAACAAAGTTACCATTCGAATATGATTAGATAAGGATGTCGTACAAAATTAATTCTTGGCCTTATTATACCTTTGATAATGTTAGTTATTTTTTGGAAAAAGTTCGAATCAGTTATTCTTTATTTCGGTATCTGTGAATTTTACAAATAGAACTTTGTTTTTAGTGTCTTTTATACACTTAGCACCCGATTATTGTGAAATCATCTTTTGCTTTTTATAATGGTCTTTGCCCATCAAAGTTGTTCAGCATCACAAAGCCATTCAGACATATAGTATTAGTATCTGATAAATGATATTTTGAGCGACAACTCCTAGTATTGTATATTAATTAAAGAAATTAACCAACCATTATTATTATTATCTTTATGAGCGACTCTTTACATACTTGCTTACCTCCCCATTTTACTCCTCGTGGAGGAGCATAGGCCACACAACAGGACTCTCCATCGAGATCCTTCCTGGGCAGTCTTTTTCAGTCGCTATTTATTCTTCTGATGTCTACTCCGCCTGTAGCTCTTCTAGGGTTACTACCGGTCTCAAGCCAGGGTAAAAGAGGAGAGTTGGGCATGAGGTCAGCAACCCCATTCCGTAGAAAACAACCTTGTTAAAAAACACTATCCAGAGAAACTTTTTAATATACAATGAAATGGAATATCAAGTACAGTTGACTATTATAAGAATTCACAGTAGACACAAGTTTCTATTACTCACTATTGTCAAAGGTTTGAATTCTTCCAATGTTGATATTCAAAATTGTAATTCGATCAGCTTCTGTTGACATATGCCCATCTTGCATAAACGACCTCGCTATAAGTAAGTTGTCACGAGTTTTTACAAAATATATGAATAAAAACATCTTCCTCATTGAACGAGTTGGTGGTTTTCTCAACTCAGTAACTCAATGGATAAGATGTTTAACATTTCAGTCCAAAAGTACTCGATTTGAGTAGTGATATGAAATTTAACATTAAAGCTCAGATATATATAGCTGATGAGTCTCGAACAGAAAGAAACACTACTCTTAGATTTCATCGTAAACAATAATGCTTGTGAACGTCTTATTTGAAACCATAATTTGTTTATTGACAGAGCTGTTCATGAATAATTTACCTATTGACCATTCGTAAATCTTTTTCTAATCAATAAAATATTATTACTCAGGTCGATAAAGTGGAATATATTCGATATATCAAAAGTTTACCTACAACAGAAATGAAAAATGCTGAAATATTACTTTTATCAGGTTAGAGGTGATTTATGATTGTATATTTAAAATACTATCACAATGCTATAAATCGTTTTCGCTAATGGTTGTTTTTAACAAACGAGGTGATTATAGAATCGAGATTAGGAAGTTTTCTCTGTTGGATATTATCATTAAGTAACACTGATATACTCAAACAATAGATTAAGTTGACAAGATAGTCGTAATCTATACTGTTGAAGACCATTGAGTAACATGAATTGCGTTGAGATGTATTTTCTTTGTCGAATTTTACGTGGCAACTTTGATCATTGGTATTATCTGGAGTGTTTTTTATGAATCAGTCTCAAACAAGGATGACAAAGCTGTTGAGCCTTCATGATTTTCGTTTAAATCATGACTGAAGCACAAAATACTTGCACTGATTACAATAAGATATCATAGTATTATCCTATGAAGACAGCCGCAGCGCAAAGGAAAGTTTTTTTGATCAACACATTTGCAATTTATACTGTAATTGTAATTTATCATTTTAAAGTTTTTCCTACGGTTATAAAATAAAAGGATAAGGATTTCATTGTGCATACACCTAACATTAGGCTCAACAGATCACGGTACTTGATCACATGATTCATCCAACTGAATTATGCGACCATTGATCACGAGCTTGAGTAAAGTGGAACAAAAGCTTACCAACACTATAAGTCAGTCGACAAATGTAATCCAGTTTGCATGTAAAATCATTGCTTACATTTTGGTGTAATCGGTTATGTATTATTTATTTATTTTATTTTTATTTGAACACATAAATATTGGTACAAGAGGGCACCAAATAGATATGCGCCACATAAATCATTCGATTTGTGTGGGGGCTATGACACTGCCCGGGTGCCCAGACCGAAGCAGGTGGTTTTCTTAGGGGGCCACGAGCCGAGCCTTTGACCTAAAAGTCTGATCCTCAAGGCAGTGGAACATCGTGAGGAGATGCAGTCCCATGGTAACCGGTGACCAACGATTGGTTCATACGCCATTTATTCCCGCAGGATACTGGAGTTCATGTGCACCATTGGTTTGGGATCCGGTTAAAGCGCCGGACATTCGCTTTTCGTCCTCTCAATTTCGTGGTGCGAGAAGGCAGAGAGTAGGACTTCCCTGGCAGAGGCTGTATATGCGTGGCCGTGTGAGAGCATTTCGAGAGGGAGGGCGGGCCCACCCCACTCTCGGCCATACCAGGGCATTTGGGGGCTCGTTAAATTATCATGGTTCAATTTCATTTAACACATAACTCGTACTATTTCTTTTGAATTCAATTTTTATAGGTGAATATCAAGAGGCTGAAGCAATTCTACTACAGAATCATTTATATTTTCGTGCTATCATGCTCAATTTGCATGCATTTAAATGGAATAGGTCAGTTATTAAAATTGGTTTTTCTTTTCTTTACTTCATTTTACACTAAATTCTCTGATTTCTAATAGTTTTAGCAGATAATGAAGGATAATTTTATGTGAATTACACTAATAATATTTTACTTGCTAATTGTTACTTATTAGTAATATCAAACCGAAATAGAGAAATTTATCTCTGATGTTTTATGATCAAATTTAAAAGTGTGTTACGAATTATGATAAATGACAATGTTAGTCGATATTCGTAAGCTACTACTTTTTGACCACAGATACCTTAGAAATATTGCTCGCATCTGCTGGGATCACCGGGTAAGTAATAATCAGGTTAGACACAGGGTACTAGAGAATGATAGTAAATCAGTTGATGAGGTTGTGAATCTTCATCAACTGAGATGGTTGAGCAACGTATTACGCATGCCCAACCATCGATTACCATGACGTGCAATGCTGACTAGTGTTGGAGGCAGTTGGAAGAAAGTTAGAGGCGGCCTAACCACTAACTTCTAGTCTGTGCCATGTTGGTAGATGCAGACTACTTGGTTGGGGGCCTCGTGACTATCGTAACGAACGGTTAGAGACTCTGGGTGACATCGCTCAGAATCGGTCACAATGGCGTCGGTGTATAAACTCTTCCCTTAAACCGTAAGATTGCATCATACCTTTCTTTCTATGAACTAATTCTTTCTTCCTGTACTATGTCCTTATATGCAATCTTTCTTTTATATATTACCACCACTGAATTAACTACTTCTATGAATCCTGTGTTCATCTTGTTGTGCTAATGAGGTATGGCGAATTGGACCGATGCACATAAGTGCCTGGTCCTACGTTGTAGCTGACTGGCTGACTGTTCGATAAATGAAATGCTTTATAAAGCTTTGTGGCCGAAGGTTAACTCCATATGAGATAGAATTATCGACACGAAATCATTGAATGCAGTTGATATCAAAGACAAAACCAGAAAATAGGTCTGATCTTATTAAAATAACATAGTACTATACAAACTGCTAGGTAAAAAGCGACAATGATTCGACGGCATATGCAAGTTAATGTAACGTAGGAATAAAATATGATTTTTCATCGGTACGAATATATGATAATACTATGACTCTAGACTGGGCACTCAAAACGAGATAATTAGAACACTATACTAGATCATGCAGTATGTACAGGTACAATATCAGACAGAAAGTAGAGAATACAGTAATGAACTAGCAATAGGTTACTTAACACAAGTGGTGAAATCCCACAGTGAGTTTAGAGAACAAATCCACAATAAAAAGGCAGTGAGACTATAATTTATGGACGATCTTTGAGTGATACCAAATTGTCCTTGAGAAACTTCAGCCACTTACTACGGTCAAAATAAGTTTATAAATTAGTTTTAAGAATCGTGACTAAGAGTTAGGGTTAAAAGTTGGATAAGGAATCAGAATTCGGTTTTTCATCACGAAATGATATTAGGTGTTATGTAAATTTAGGATAAGGATAGACTCCACTATCGTTCGCAATAGTGACCTTGAACTTGACACCCAACCAAAATGAAGTTGGACTTGTTATTTACACGTTCATAATCCATGATGGAGGGCGTGTTTGGTTCTGTCATTATTGCTGGCTTACATGATAACTGTATAGTTTTCTACGACAAAAATACTAGTCTATCATCCTGCAGACTTGTAAAGCGTAACGCAATCAGTCATGATGGAAAAGAAATTGTAATATAGCAAAAGTCACATCTCCAATTAATTATATGATAGAAATTATTACAGAATACCTACCACTGAGTGAGTAAATATACGAAAAAATAATTGTAATTACTTACTATACTTACGCCTGTTACTCCTCGTGGAGGAGCATAGGCCACCTATCAGCACTCGCCATCCAACCCTGTCCTGGGCAATCCTTCCCAGTTTTTATTCATCCTTCTCATATATGCTTCTATTTCCCGACGTAATGTGTTCTTTGGTCTTCCTCTTTTCCATTTCCCTTCAGGATTCCAAGTTAGGACTTACCTTGTGATGTAGTTTGATGCTATTGTTGTGTGCTAGGTTCAAAGAGAATTTTATGCTATATGCATGCAAATCCGCCCCGTTATTGTTCCTAATTACTTATTATGATACATTCAAAAAACCTGTCGACGTGAAGTTCGTCCCCAGCCATATGGATAAATAAATTTTGCACCAAAATGAGGGAGCTGTAATCTTAGATCTGATTCGTTCGTACATAAATCATGGCCTCTCCGAAAGGCATTCACGATACTATTACTGTTTCAACATTTAGCAAAGATAAATGTCTGTCCGCTATCACACATCATGCCATTGTAAACCTCTCGTTCGCCAGTGAAATTAATATATGACTGCCAAACTACTAGTCATAACGTTTTAATTTCTCCTCTGATAATTCTAAATCATAGAAATTATTAATCGCATCCAAGAATTTATGTGTTTAGAGTAAAATTTAACCCTACTTTTATTAGTCCACGATATTGCGCGACCGAAGGTCCCGGGTTCAAGTCCGACGTGCGGGATTGTGGCTGAGCACTGCTGAAGAGTTCCATACTAGGACGAAAAGGCTGTCCAGTGCTTCTGGGTTTTTAATGGTCGTCTAACATTGGTCTATTCGTGATATCAATTTGAACTCAACAATCTAATTTTATTATTTAACTGGGCAATAAAAATAAATTAATCTGTTTACAAAAATATGAAATGAGAATAGTTAAATTTATAGGTCGGCTACTTCAAAGTTTGTTTAGTCGGTCAGTTATGAGCAAGTATACCCACTTAATTACTGTTTTAATCTGAAGTCTTTTAAAATCTAAAAGTCATAGTTTTTCACTAAAACCTGGAAGCACAAGACGCCTGTTTCGTACAATTATAGGACTCCTCAATAGTGTGAACCCATTACCATGTAACCGAGGTCTCATTTGTGTCTTTTATCTGCTGTTCGATATGGCTCATTTTTGTCTCTCTCCTTTTTCCTTTTAATATACTGTATTGATTTCTGTTTTTGTACTAACGGTATTAATTTATGTTTTAGAAATAGATAAAGTTTTTCAAGCTAAATAGTTTAATTGTTTTGACTTTGGTTACGCTAAAACTATGCTTAAGAGTATAGGAATTCATCTTTAGATAATTAAATCCTACATCTGTCTCAATCCAATAAGGAAATTAAAATTGGGATAAATTTCAACTTTGAAAATAATATCAACCATTGTAATTTCTTTGGTAAAACAAAATTGATAATCACTTGGTATTGTTTGTTTGAATCTTACCATTGATGTTTAGGACTGCAAATGATCAGTCTCTTATTGACATATGTACATATTGTGCGTATTGCCTCAATATAGCCTTAATTCACAAGGATTATATGCAACGATGGATAGTGGCTAGCAATGGAATCCAGGAAGCGCGCGCTTCGTTCTATTTAAAGCTACATCGAAGCATTACGCACACTATGTACATATGCCAATAAGAGACTGATCAATCGCAGTCCTAAACAACAATGGGAAGATTCAAACAAACAATACCAAATGAATTTAAACTTCACCCCATTGCACAAGCAAATGGCTATCAGGATTCTGTGGCTAAGTGGATAATGCGATGGCGTTTGAAGCGAACGGTACTGAGTTCGAGTACCAGACTGAACATCAACCCTGAGATGCAGGTACACCCAGCTGACGAGTCCCGAATAGGACGAAACGCGCATCCTGGAATCCACTGTTAACCACTATCCATCTTTACATATAAATTGATAATCGTTATTATTAGTTTGATAGTAGTCTTATTGAATCTGTATGTATTCTTTATTCCACGAGGACTAATGTGCTTATTTCAATGTTTGCTTCCTTTGATTTTATTCACTCATTTATTCATCTGCTTACAGAGCACTTGAATTGGCAAATAAATATAATTTAGCAGTTGATATTGTATTATCAATGAGACATGATTATTTAAAACAATTAAATCGTGTTGAAGAATTACATTTATTCAATTCACAACCAAAACAAGCAAGTTAAATATTACAATTTAACATTAATTTACAAATAATAATTGTTGCATTTAGTTTGGATATAGTAGTGAATTCTTGAAGAGTTTCTTTTCAAATGTTCTTTTTCAACAATGGTTCACAGTCAGATTTTTGGATACAGTTCTACTTTGGTAAACTTTTCATCTCATAATATGATGAGTATGGTAGACTAGGACATTGTAGTGGTGTCTTTTTCTTCTCCTGCAACATATGCACTAAGCTTAATAATAAAATAGCACTGGTTACGCCTTAATAATCAACTGGTGTGTAGACATATCAGTTTTAACGGGTCAATCACTAATTGCATAAGAACTCAGTGATGACAGCTATAACAAAAACACAGATCCAAGTTACGTGAGTTAGGCTAATGATCACAAGATTGTAGATATGTCTTGTTGAAGTGTTAACTAGATTAAGCAAAGCTATCTGTTAAGTTGGTTTCAATAACCTAATGAGACAGTGTACTGTAGTGTTACACTAATATTTGATATGGACGAATAACTGGGAAAGGTAAAAAGTTTAGAACTTTTCTACGGAAAATTATTATATATATATTTTTGTTACGTAGTTGTTAAATGTTTATGACATTTTTATATTACCGTTATTGTAGGTTTTAATTTAACCCATAAACCGTTATTAAACTACCGTTAATTAATTATGCACCAAGTGCACAGTTTTGTATCACGTATAACTAACTTATGCATACATTAGGATTTCTTCTTGGTAGATCGTTGTAGTCATCTATTTTGATATATACAATCCTATGAATCGTAGGATAAAACAGTCAGAGAAACCGAGTCTATTCGCTATCCTCGTGTTCTGATTGGCTACGCGGACCAACAGGTGTTGATATTTCCAGTCGTTATTGGTCACTTGTGTTGCCGTTTGAGGTGGTGATTGGTTTTATTAGGATAGAGCGAACTCATCATTAGTGGATACTATAATCGAGTGGGCAAGTGAAAGTTCAAAGGTTATAACAAATAAAGACTAAATAATATATGTATTGGTCAATTGGAGTGAACTTCGCATTCTAAAATTAAAAAACACACGCTTTCGGTTAGATGAAATGGGTTTTTCCGTACACGAGGACTATCCACTGCAACTATTATTATAGAGTAGTGAATTAGTTATGACTTTTAGTATATTTCATTACTGAAATTTCAACAGTACACAAATTAAGCACTGAATAGATAAGATCAATCAGATAGATTGGTTCAGAGCCAAACAATAAGAGGTGTTGATATGAGGACACTACTTGTCACGATTCGGCTCAACTATCGAAAGAAACGGACGTACACCATTAATTGAAAATTTGGCTAAATTTTCCGGGGAAAATATGTCTGTATTAATGAGTTTGTGCGTATATTTTGGTTCGAGTTAGCCAATGAAAATTTCATACGCACTCTTGGCTTTTCACTCAATCGGGAGTTTGAGTTCGCGTATAGGGAAGGCATATATCAGTATCAGAAAACGGATGACCACCTCAACACAACAGAACTAATATTTGGCTAATACATAACTTTAGTTTAATTATTTGTATTTCAAATAGTAATGCAGAAATATTTCTTTTTTAAGAGTACATTGGATGCATCGGAATTGAAAGAAAGAATTGAAGAGGAATATCTAAATGAGAAGAAACAACTCCAAGAATTATCAAACACTTGAAAAATATATCAAACAATGCACGAGCATGTATATGAACCGCATATTTTTCAAAAACGTGTTTACCCTTATGATTTTACATTTTTGAAGTTAATTTTCTATATTGACTAACGTAGTTGGTTTGGGATTTGTTATGATCCAGTTTTGATTGTTGGATTATTGACCACCACAGAAATAGATTACTATTGCAGCTACCTGGTTAGATATCTACAGCTGCCATTCTATCCGCTCTAGATACCTTGATCGATATTAAGGAGAGAATTAGTGATTCATTACTGTGCCGGAGAATCAATATGACAACACATTCACCTGAACGATGATTGCTTTAGCTTTACCAATGGAAAGAAGGCATGTCTAGTCGAGTAGAGGTTCCATCTATTCTTCACTCAACTGTCCTTTAACAATTTCACTCTGGACATCATAAAAAGTTTTCAACTTTGATTAAAGTCAAGAGGCAACATCAATGTCCAATAGTGGCTGGAGACAAACTATTAAAAGTTAGCAAAAAAGTTACTGAACAAAGCTCTAAGGCATTTCTCATCATTCTAATAGTTTTATCTCAGTGTGAATCACTGACGAATTCTTCCCTGATGTTTTTGTAAAGTTTAAACAACTACTTTATGGTGTTCTCTTATTCTTATACTTTTACACTACCCACAATGGTCCCATTGGATTCTTGTCAATCTACATGTAAACTACTTCCTTTATTGATATCAGGGACCGACTTAAGCTAGAAATTCATTGAAAACCAGAACGCAATGGCAAGCCGTTTTGTCCCAGCAAAGCATTCCTTAGAAGTGTGCATTCGCACTCCGATCACCAGGGGTCGGATCCAGGACTTTCGGTTTTGTGTTTGAGCACGACCTCTAGACCACTGAGACGGAATACAGTGATGAATATATCGAACTTCAATCAATTCACGACATTAAACGGCCGTCTCACACTATCTAAGGTGGGTAACAGTCTTACAACCGATACATTTGTGTGGCTCATCATGTATTTTTAAAATAAGATTTCCGCCTACCAACTAACCAATTCTCTTTAAATCACGTAAAAAAACGAGCTTGAATTAGATGAAAAAATTTATTCTATACAGTCAACATAATAAAAACATAGTGAGACATCACTAAACATAGAAAATATTAATTAGTATCTGCCATTTCCACAGAATTATCAGCGTTCGCTTCATCTGTATTGATGGTAGGAGTAGTAGTAGGAGTACCGATAGAAACGCCAGAGGCATCATCATTATCAACCAACATAAGACTAGCAGTATGATCTAATCCTTGACTGATACCCATAACCTCACCACTATGATTATTTTCGGTAGTAGCCGACTCCAGCTGTTGTTCTTGAGGCAATTTATTTAAATCTGTGCTCGAAATGGATAAACTAGACGATGAATCATTGCCGATAGTAATATCTTTTGAGTTAACAGTAGTAGCAGCAGTAGTAGTAGTACCAGTATTCGATATTGTTATCGTTTTATTCTGTACGTGTTGTTGTTTTTGTAATTGAGTCATTAAATATTGCAATTTTTGATCGTATAATTCACGAACATAATTGCTCATTTGTGGCATATCTTTAATGATCAAAGGTGGTTGATTAAGATCATGATCAGTTTGTAGACGATGTTGTTCCTTCAGTACCGTTGGACTACGGGGATCCTAAGTTATTTTGTTTTAGAAGAAAAAAGTTAATTGGTTTAAAATTGACTGTATTGCAAAGGAGATATACGTATGAATAGTAAATACGCTAACTGAAAAGTTAGTATTAGATATTTTACCTGTGAAAGAGTGAGTAATACTGAGGTTAGACACATGATATTAGGTGAAGATGGCGAAGCGTTTGAAGTAGTGAGTCTTTATCGACTAAAGTGATTGGGATATGTTATATGTGTCTACTCTGGCTGATGTAGAAGTAGATTGAAAGAAAACTAGGGGAAATCAAACAAGAACGTAACATCAGTTCACGAAGTCATTGACTGTTGGATTGAGTCGTGTTGGTAGGGCACAAACCTAGCCGAAGTTCATACAATTATCGTAAACAATTGATGTGGATGTTGAGTGACACTATTTCGGGATAGGAAGCATTGATGCAGATGCATTTACTCTTTATATTCCTATTAAATAATCAGTTCCAAAATTATTTTATACTTTTTTATTCCACAAGTTCATTTATTTTTTTTTCTTGAGTTATGTCGTCTATGCCTTGTCCTTTCAGGTATTGTTTAAAACTCAACTCAATTAGTCTCTCTGTGCTAATATAGTATGACAACTTGGACTGATGCGCATAAATACAAGATTCTACGTTGTGTACGAGTGACTGACCGACCACTTGTAAGTAAACTATATAACTATCAGGATATTTGCTCAAGGTGTGATAATTCACGTGATTTATTGTAATTGTTGGGCATACAAATCAATTTAATCACATCTGGTTAACCATTTTTGTCCCCGTTTGGCTCTAGTATTATCGAACGATAACGATGTTAATAGGATATACATAGTACACTTATCTTTGTATTTATCCTACCGACTAAACACGTTTAGAACAAAATTGTGTATTAAAAATAGAAATAAGAGTGTTTCGGACGGGTATACATTCGTTTATGCACTAAAAGATAGGTCGATAAAGTAGCGACCATTCAACAAATAACGACTAATCTGATCCATATTATGTACTATATTCATATATATGTGATGAGAACTACGTTGTTTAACTATGAGTTGTAGTGAAACACCACTGAAATAAATATGATATAACGGCAGGATATAAATGTTTACCGTTTCTTACATCACACTACTATGGCACGATTTTACGACTGACAACCGAAATTACACTACAACTGAACCGGATACTCGATCGATAAGACATACACAGACTGGATCACGTTGTACCACATATCTGATTCAAGACCGACACTTTATTCAACGCAATTCTAAGCAGTCACATAAGTTAGGAGTTGGTCAGAACCAATCGGTAAAAATCTATGAACTTAAGTCTCGTGCTAAATAGTACTAGTCAGCATGACTAGATCCAACCATATTCAACGCGATACCGACTCATTTAAACTAATGGTCACACTGCAACTTGATCGGTAGCAGTTTGTATTCTCGCATTATTGATGCTAATCTTTGCAACTTATCCATCATTGTTGGCACATGTGCATCCTAAGTGCTTTGGGATGTTATTTCAATCTAAGAAACCCATTAACAAACAAGATGTATTCTGACATTCAAGCGTGTCGTAGAAACTGAGTAGATTACTGTAGAACTGCTTCACTAGTGCGTTAAATCAATCGATTGTGAGCTTAAATGAGTGAAACAGAAAAAAATATTAAAGTCGAATTAATCCATATTATAAATTGAAAATGGAGAACTTTAAGTCGATTGAGTCTTAAATAGTACAAATTACTAACATAACAAAACAAAATAACTTCATTGGTAATGCTGAGAACAGTTCATATACAAAACGTAAGAACAAATTAAGTCTTGATTACGATGATAACAAAGAGTTAGATGCTATTCAGTTAACACATAAACTCAATAGCGTACAGAATGAGATCATCCATGTATCTTATATACAGCGATACCTCATTGATTAAACCACTCATCATATTTTCAACATACGACATATATACATCAACTAAGAGAGAATGAAGTTTTCCAATAGGTAATTAGAGTAATTTTTTCAATAATGCTACTGAACTAATTGTGATCCAAAAGGGAAGACTCATGACTCCATACAGGCCTAGTCGTTATTTTGTTTAGTAAGTAATCTCGATTATTCAATATTCAATCGATGTGAAGTTTATCATTTCCAATTAATAAAATGGATTAATTCAGCTTTAATATTTTGTCAATTGCAATATAAAAATGATAATTTCGGATTAATAAGTGTAGAGACTGATAACGAAGTTATCGAAAACGATCTAGTACTCTATTGTCAAACAAATAATAGCTTTACGTCTTCGTTTTACAGCGTTAATGAAAGCTTATGAATTATTTGAAAAAAATTTTATAAAAGAAGTTATATGATATGACAGAATTAATCCCCCCAAAGAAACTTACAATCCATACTTCCCATGGTGTTAGGTGTAGCTCAGTCGGTTTCATTTGTTTACTTTCATCAGATGTACGGTTTAAAAGTAAATCAAAAGCAGGTTTTAATTCTGGACAATTGGCAAATTGTTCAATTCTAGCAAATATATACAATCCAAGCCTGGCACGTGATAAAGCAACAATTAAACGGCGAACATCACGTAAATGACCAACAGTACGTGTACGTACTAATGAAACTAGTACATAATCGTTTTGTTGACCCTAAATAATAGTAATAATAATAATAATTATAATAATAAACCATCGTTAGTTATTGGTCCAGACAGGGTGAAGAAAATGAATTAATTCTAAGCAAAGAGTAAAATCCTACTTAATTAACTAGGTGAACCACCATCGACTGAGATAGTCAGGATATGTAATTAAATATGCCAATCCACCGAATATCTCAACGCGCGATGATGGCAAGTGTTGAAGTAGGTAGATAGAAAGCTAGAGGGTGGCCAAACCAAGATGTGGCACCAGTCCATGAATACCCTGATTGTTGAACTGAGCCATATAGATAGATGCAGACTACCTGGTTGAAGTTCGCGTGATCATTGTAAACAATGGGTAGAGATTTTGGGTGAGGTGGCTTAAAATTGTTTACAATCACGCAAAAAGATTTTTTACTGTATTTTATGCAATCTTGAGTTGTTAAATAACTTTTTATTCCAAAAACCCAAATTTTCTTGTTGAATAGTGTCTTTCTTTGATGCCTGATTTCCTTAAAAGACAATAAATATTGAACCTAAAATTATGTGCGGTAAGTAACCAGTATTGAAATATATATATATTTATATATATGTCAAGTTCGAGAATCGTTGGAAATCAAGAAACAATGAATAACCATTGTTCTTCGTCTAGGACTTGGCAATAGTTCCTATCTATGAATCCATCGGG